TATCGATTTTGGTATCGGTATCGACCAAAATTCATGGTATCGGACTGGTACGTATCGTATCAAAACCAAAAAAGCTGGTATCGCCCATCACTACAATGAACTTATGAACATGCGTAAATTGTCACGCCCAAAATTTATACAAATGTTTAACAAAATAGACATTTGTATAAATTTTGGGTGTGACAATTTACGCATGATAGACATTTGTATAAATTTTGGGCGTGACAATTTACGCATGTTCATAAGTTCATTGTACGTTTTTTATTATTGACACGGTTTCCAATTTACTATAGTTTCGATCTCGATAATACAAAAATGTTTATCTGGGGCCGAGTCTGGGGCCAGTTGTATCAAGCCCGTTTAGCTTAAACGGTGGTTAAGCTCAAAACAGAAAGCAACTAAGCAAGTCATCGATTTATTCAACAATCAAGCTAAACGTTTCAGTAGTGGCCGTGTAAAAAACGCGGCCGTACATATTAGAAATAATTCGTTTTATCAATTCATTCATTAGAATGATCATTTTATATGATAACCCGTTTATACTGACCTTGCATATAAATATCTAATGAAATACAAATTGTCAAACACAAAAACACTGGTGGTCATCAAGGTTTATGACGATTACGGCTGATTTGTAATTTATCCGTTCTTCTTATAATCGTTGTTTACAATAAATTGCAAAAATAATGCCCAAAATTCCAAATGCACGCAGTCAAAAGTGATGTGAAATCTATAAGAAATCTCGTGAATACAAAATTACTTGTGTTAAACAAATAACTCTGAAAGTCCAGATGTCGCCTTCCCCCCCCTAAATACGTGATAAGTCAATGCGGCCATCTACTTCCGGCTGGTCGAAATTGACCAGCCGGAAGTATGTCTGCTGCCAGATGTTACAAGTCTCTCTTTCCTCCTCTCCCCCTCAGCGGTACGTCATGTAACGTACAATATAGATGTACAATATATAGATGTCCACAAAGAGAGACTTGGAGAGACTTGTGCAAGTCTACTGTTTGCACAGTTTAGAATTCGCTACCATGTAACCACAAAACGGGGTAACCTACCAGAACGGGGTTTGCACACTGCTTTATTATGCCTTGTTCAATCACCAACTTAAAGTCATTAACAAATGATTTGGTCTGGTTCAAACTTCATCACATTTTTTTTCAAACTTACGAGCATTCTCGATATGTTTGAATGCAAAAACCAATTCCACGTTTTTCATGAACTGTCTGTGCCAGTGTAGGTAGAGCGAATAATAACAAGCTTTCATTGGTATAGTAGGTAGTTGCATCCCTACCAGAGAAACCTTGTTTTTCCATGACCATTTCTCATGGAAACAATGAATATGCAACTCTTTGAACTTTACAATGTTGCATTGTGAATCATCTTGCATTGTGAATCATCTTGCGTACACTTCCGTAGGAAGAAAACTTAACTGGGAGTATATATAGATGAACATCTAACGTGGAAAGACCACATAAGCCATGTCAAGTAAAAAGATCTCAAAAGTCGGTTGGTATATTGCACAGGTCACGTTTCAGTTTATCATCTAAGACCAAATTATCTATATTATACTCTATACGTCCATACACTACTTATTTTAACCTAGTCTGGTCATCAACATATGTAACAACCTATAAATAAAATATTTAGGACATTAAGAATAATTACTAATGAAGATGAATTCCGTGCTCATTGTGTTTCTCTATTTACTCATTAGTTATTTCACTTAATGTTGCTTGGTTTATGTTCTGTTATAAAAAATTTTTGCTGCTAATTCTTCTTAACCTATTTATCACTAACAACCAGGTCCACGACTACAATACAAGAATAGCTGACTATCGTCCTCAAGCTTGTCGGCCAAAACAATTTACTATACTCTTTCAAAGTGCTAAAATTTGGAATGCTCTACCATCACATATAAAAGATTTGTGTGGACTTTCCACTTTTAAAAAACATATGATAGAGAATTTTTGCTAAGAAAATCTCCATACGTCGACACGTTGTGCACATAATACACTCATTCAAGTAAAATATTCTATTCATTTCACTGTATTATTTGTTGTTTGAGGTGATCTCACTAGATAAGCCCAGCGGTTTCATGAGATCTCGTCGCCATCTGCTATTTTTTGTTCTTTTCTTTGTAATTGTACTGTATATGATGCTTGTGATGTTACTCTGAGTGTATATCCACACCGGGCAAGCTTGAAAGATATGCCTGACTACGGTGGGAATCGAACCTACGACCTTTGGAATACTAGCCCAATGCTGTGAATACTAGCCCAATTGGGCTAGTATTCAAAAGGTCGTAGGTTCGATTCCCACCGTGGTCAGGCATATCTTTCAAGCTTGCCCGGTGTGGATATACACTCAGAGTAATATCACAAGCATCATATTCACCTGAGTACATTACACCAACACAGAAAAATCATTACTGATTATTAGATTACATTGATATCGAAGGGACTAGATTCTGTTCCGAAATATCACATACTCGAACCGATCTGACCGCGTAGCTCAGTTGGCAGAACATTGGGCCACCGTGGTCAGGCATATCTTTCAAGCTTGCCCGGTGTGGATATACACTCAGAGTAACATCACAAGCATCATATTCACCTGAGTACATTACACGAACACAGAAAAGTCTGTACTGTATATTGTATATGTTTATGGCAAATTAATTAAAGTTTCACTTTGGAATCGTTTGTCGTTTGATCAGTCGCATCGCAAGTCAACTGCAAGTGAGTTTGACCATGAGTGTGATGTGAAATTCATTTTCATTGCTGTAAAATGTCAACTATCCCTGTTACAAGGAATTTATTTTTTTAATCAAAATATATCCTTAAATGTCCTTATGTTCTGCAGGAATTTTTTGTCGTCTTCTAAATTGAGATGTCATATAATTTGCTTCTTTAAAAATTCCAAGTTATTTTGAAAAATATTTGACAGAATCATCATTAAGGACAGGTCATGAAGTACAAGATGGGGTAGGCTGAGAAAAACAGTTTTTGAGAGACACATACTGTATATCAAAGACCCACACTCTGTATAACGCTAAATTGCCAATGCCCACACTTGAAGTTTTACACATGACCCACTCCTTTGGTAAAGGATAAAAGTAAGCTGGCCAGCATAGTCCTGTAACGAAGCCAGCTAGATAACTACTATAACGAAAGCTTAACCAGTGTCGGAGGAGAGCAACCTCTGTCCCATATCGCTGACCGCTAATCTCTCCGACGTGCTTGAGGACTGGGTGGTGGACTGGATTATTTCTGATCTAAGTCACAAAATTGATCGAAATCGCTATTCACTAGCATAGCCAGCCCGACCACTTACTCCCGCTATGCAAATATTTTCGTGTTCATTGACTGTGAAAACAATCAATTCCTAAAAAAATGAATAATGATAATCTTGAATTTGCATAGCGGGACTAAATTGTCGGGCTGGCTACGCCACTGATCAAAATTGATCAATTTTGTGATCAGTACAGCAGTTTGGTTGTCTCAAAGGTTAGGGCCGGAACTTCAGGTTATCTCAAAGGCAACTCTACTACTCTACTACCTTCAACCGCCCATTGCATAACTACACCAGTCGACAGTTCAAGCTAATCATTCATATTTACGAACTGTCATCATCTGACTACAAGACTACTAATGGTACAGATTGAAGAAAGATATATAAATAACTATTCATATTGATGGACCATCTTGATAAAGATGTGCTGATCGTTGTTATCTTCAGTATCATAAATCAATCTACACTGTATGTCATTGCCCTTTTACCATTTGCTACAAACCGATGTCCCATGTCTATTCCATGCATTATTATACTTCTGGACTGAGGGCTAATTAGAAGAGGGAGTAGGGCTAAAAAGAGGAAATACGGTAAACTAACAACTTTTAGCACAAATTCATTGTTTGTTTGTAGAGGTATGACTGCCTGCAGTTATGGCTGAACCATTTTCCAACATAGAGTCAGAAACAATAGATGCTTCAACTAAACTAGTCAAAGAAAAAAATGTTAAGGATTTCATTAGCTCACCATCTTCGCAAATTGACCCATGTCAGACTAAAGGCATCAGCCTAATAAAAAATCCCAAGCAAGAACCAAAAACAGATTATTCATACAACCCTTCGAAAGTGGATCTATGGAACAAACCTCGTCTAAGCCATTCAGACACATCTGTATTAATTAGCTCTAAGAGATCTTGCAAAAAGTTGGATTTGTCTGGTTGTGGTCTTACAAAGTTACCCGAGGTTCTTCGTGACTTTCATGAACTGGAAGAACTGAATCTATCTAACAACCCTCTAAGCAATTTAGATATACCTTTCTTGGAATACTTACCTTGGTATAGGTTGAAAAAGTTGAATTTGTCTGGCTGTGGTCTTACAAAGTTACCCAAAGGTCTTCGTGACTATCATAGACTGGAAGAACTGAATCTATCTAACAACCCTCTAAGCAATTTAGATATATCTTTCTTGGAATACTTACCTAGTTGGTATAGGTTGAAAAAGTTGGATTTGTCTGGTTGTGGTCTTACAAAGTTACCCGAGGGTCTTTGTGACTGTCATAAACTGGAAGAACTGAATCTATCTAACAACCCTCTAAGCAATTTAGATATAATTTTCTTGGAATACTTACCTAGTTGGTATAGGTTGAAAAAGTTGGATTTGTCTGGTTGTGGTCTTACAAAGTTACCCGAGGGTCTTTGTGACTGTTATAGACTGGAAGAACTGAATCTATCTAACAACCCTCTAAGCAATTTAGATATATCTTTCTTGGAATACTTACCTAGGTGGTATAGGTTGAAAAAGTTGGATTTGTCTGGTTGTGGTCTTACAAAGTTACCCGAGGGTGTTCGTGACTATTATAGACTGGAAGAACTGAATCTATCTAACAACCCTCTAAGCAATTTAGATATATCTTCCTTGGAATATTTACCTTGGCATAGGTTGAAAAAGGTGGATTTGTCTGGTTGTGGTCTTACAAAGTTACCCGAGGGTCTTCATGACTATCATAGACTGGAAGAACTGAATCTATCTAACAACCCTCTAAGCAATTTAGATATATCTTCCTTGAAATATTTACCTCGCTATGAGTTGAAAAAGTTGGATTTGTCTGGTTGTGGACTTACAAAGTTACCTGATTTGAAAGTATGCAGCAACCTACAAGAGTTGAATTTTTCCAACAATTCCTTTGACCATCAAGATCTATTAGAAAAACTAAATAGTGGGAAGGTGTTTAGTTCATCAGGTTTTCGTCAGAGTGGCAAGGAACTATTAGAACCCACGGCCAGTGGTTTGGGGTTGTCCAAACGAACCTGCAGGATCATATTTGAGGATGCTGTTTATATACAGAATAGTGGAGGTTAGACATATATTGTTTAATAATCATATTGAATAACAATCCATTGGGTCTAGGTTCTCGCCAGGTTCTATCAACTGTGATCCTAATTTGGTGGGAAAAGAAGGAAAACTACACTAATGTTTATGCTATATGTGAAACATGCATTTAACTAAAATAGCTAAATTGGATTTATATACACAAACAACATTTATGACATTTGCATTTTATGCTCATGCATGGTAACTGGAAAGTCAAGAAAAGCATGATCAGTTAAAAATAGAGTGGGCCTATAATGTAATGTTTTAGTCATATACATGTATATCCAACAACTGTGAAATTTTTTTTTTTTTCTCTTTTAGTTTGGACAGTTGCGCATAAAGGTACTTCTATTTATATTTTCATTTTTTCTCATTTTCTTAGAGATTTTTCAATAACCAAATATTTATTGCTTGCTCGTATTGTATAATAAAAAGACTAAAAGTATAATATAATTCATAAAGTGGCTATATAAACACGTTTATTGTGCATAAAATTAAGTGTTGTAGAAATCTGATAGAATAGAATAGAAGCTTTATTGATACAAGAGTTACAATCAGTAAAATACTGTTCGCCCAAATTATTGAACCTGATTTTTAGCTTAACATATCAATAGACAATTCTCATTATAGACTAATTTTAAAACTAGGCAAAGAGATGCAAATAAATCACGACAGCTAGAAAGAGCGTACTAAGATGAGTAAAATTACAAAGTTTGGTTGCGAAATGTTGTAAAATACGGAAAATATATATCCCTGCAAAGTTTGCAAATTTTGTATACTTTTGTATAGCATGCGGAAATTGCTGCCATTTTCGGCCTAAATCATGGTGGTAGCAATTTCCGCACGCAATACAAAAGTATACAAAATTTGCGAATTTACAAGGCTATATTTTCCGCATTTTACAACTTTTGGCAAACAAACTTTGCATTTTTACTCATTTTAGTATATGCTCTTTCCGGGAATATATACTTTTTGCGAACATCAAAAAATTAGTCTATATCATGGGAATTGTCCATTGAAAGTGTTATTATTTCATTTTGCTGTTGCAGTTGTTGCATCTACGGAAGAAATATATAAAGGGCAAATGGGGTTGGAAGAACTAAATAGGTTTAGTGGACTGAGTTTACCGAATAAAGAAATCTGGTTGGATGAATTCTGTCAAATAAGAAAGTACAAGAATCTCACAATTGAAAGTTATTATGCCATGCGTAAGTGTGACTTCTTTTATTTAATAATAATTTCATAAAGAGTAAAGAGTTGTTTTACTTTTTTGAAAAAATTTTCCTGGATAAATTCTACCACTCTATGACACTGCTTTTGTTGCGGTATTTCAGCGTCGACTGTATAGACTATAGCATTTTTATATAAATTATAAAACAAATTAAAGTAGACTCAGGGGCCGCGCAGGCGCTAAAGGGGGTGTTGGTGTAGGGGGGGGGGGGTATTATAGTCTGCAAAATTGTTTTCGTAGTCGGCAAAACATGAATTTGAATGGAAGAAAACCATTAAAATATTTTGAGTGACACTGATAAAAATTGATAATAATAGCTAAAATGTGGAGAAATCTACGAAAACATTAGGGAACAATTTTGGGAAAAGAAATATTAATTAGTGGTTGAAGTGACTCTGCAAAATCTCCCTTGATATTAATTCGGCCAATTTCACTAACACGCCCCCCCCCCCCATTCAAAGAGGCATAGTGCCGCTCCTGTAGACTGTATAGCATTTTTATATAAA